TACTTATACTTATATATATATATATTTGTTTATACATGTGGGTGTGTGTCCATGTATATGCCTGTGTTTTACACATACATACACAGTTTATCGTAACAGATACCAACAATCATGAAATTGATACCAGTAACGAAACACTAATCGTAACAACAACCATAGCAACAGCAGCACCAACGCCGCTACCACCACCACCACCACCACCAACAACAACAACAACACCAGCAGCAACAACAACAACAACAGCACCAGCAGCAACAACAACAACAACAGCACCAGCAGCAACAACATTAACAACAACAGCAAAAACAACGACAACAACAACAACAGCAACAACCAGAAGCGCCAAGAACAACAAAGGCAATAATCATGGTACGAAGTCGAAATATGTTGTGTAGTCTACCTGAACTGAAATTGTTAATCACTAAACTTACCTGAGCAGTCAGAATTCAATCGGGGCGTCGCTCGCGGAAGAATCCGTAAAGGGATCCCAGGCCCGCTCTGCAACTTCTTTTGGATACACCACCACTAAAATGCCTGTGGCCATGGGTTTAGGATTTATAGGGTCGATATTTTAGGGGTGTATGTTTCAGGACATAGGGTGCACCTTTTGGGGTACAAGGTTTGGTTTTGCTTGTTTCGGACTTAGCTTCCAAGTGTGCAGGGTTTACTTTACACCACTGGCGTGCAGAGCCACAAGGTCCATAGCCATAGTCATAGTCGAGAAGACGTCTTGGAGAATGTGCACCAAATTCCTGTCCTGATTATTCACATCCCCGGATTACACCAATAACACTCTGCATGTCCCTTATAAGACTGTGCAGCACCTTGGCTTTCTTGTGTTCAGCGCCCTAAACCTTATAAACCCTAAACCGTATTCATGGATCTCTGCCGAGGACCGAGGCGGCAGCACAAGTGCAGCTTCCAGGCCGCAGCAGGAGGAGGAGGAGGAGACTTAGGAGGAGCAGTAGTCATTGTTGTAGGAGAAGCTGTGACAGTGGTAGTAGTGGTAGTAGTAGCAGCAGTAACAGTGGTAGTAACAGTAGTAATAATAGTAGTAGTAGTAGTAGTAGTGGTAGTGGTAGTGGTAGTGGTAGTGGTAGTGGTAGTGGTAGTAGTGGTAGTGGTAGTAGTGGTAGTGGTAGTAGGAGCTGCAGCAGCAGCAGTAGTTACTTGGTAGGGTACAACGGATAGTAGATGAGAAATGAATTTGTACGAAAAGCCAAGCAGCAAATAAGCCTTGAGTTGTGTAGCGCCCAGGGCTTCTGGGATAGAGACATTAGAAATAAGTTAAGATGCTGGGCTCAGGGTTGGTTCAGGTGTTCTATGTGTCTTCAGGGTTTATATGTCCTTTTTTTTGTTGTTTCGTCTTCAAGCTTGAGGTTCAACTGTGGTTAGAGTCGGCACTAGTGCAAAGCCGAGCCTGCGTCGGTGGTAGAATGTTGATGCCGTTTTGTGAGATGCGTTGCCGTGGCAACGGGACAAACCAATGCCCAAACTCTGAAACCTAAACCCTAGTTTATGTTGGCTAGTGCCCTATAGTAAAACCTCCGACCCCGACGCGTAGACCGCTACACCCCGTATGCCCTCAACCCTGAGCTTGGTGCCAGGGATCTCCGGCAGCGATGGCATCGCAGAAGGGACAACGCCACCGCCCAAGGCAGAGCCACCTTGCGCCCGAGACCATTTCTGAACCATTTCGGCTAGGTTTTGTGGTTAGCCTAAAGGGTCCATGTGCCCAAATACTAGATACTTTGGCCTTAATGTAGTCCCTACTTTGGTACTTTGGGGCCATAGTATGTGCTATTTGGGTACAGGACCCTTAAAGAAGGGTTTGGGGATTCGGGCAGCCTTCGCTCCTAGTCCGTGCAGATGTTGAGGGATTGGTGTGAAGTTTAGGGGGATGTGGGTTTGTCTTTGGCAGAAAATCGGCTTGCAACACGGCTCTTTGAGGGCTGTCCCGAGATAGTGCTGTCACTAGGAACCTCTCGAACATAAAAGACTGTTGGAGATGCTCCACCTGTGTTTCGAGGCCTCGATATGAAGGATGAGAGTGAGTAAGAAACCTAGTAAGAAAGCGAGGCGTACCACTAAACGGTTTACATTACCATCGTATATCGCTTGTTGTCTTACCCTGATATGTTCTGAGGAGTTCAGAACCTGTTCAAGGTAATATAGAGGGGTCTCAATGATTAATTTATGGCTTTGGGGTTATATTCTGGAATAATGCAGCTATATAAGGACTATAGGCAGATACTAGTAGTTGCTGATTACTCCCA